GACTCACCTAAGGGTTCAACGCCCTTAGCTTCGGTTGCACTTTTTAGTGTCCTTCTTGAATAGGATAATAAGAGGGACAATAACAGATTTAAAATCGCGACTTATAGCTAAGTGTCAAATATAGAGTTAAGTGTAAGGTGTGCTTCATATATAGTATTGATTATGTGTGGGTATTTGCACCCGCGGTCTGTGTAAATTCTTCCTACTTGTTTGTGGTGAGAAAAGCTATATTCCGCTCCTGTCCCTTTTTTATATAGTAGATCGATATAAATTGAGTTCTCGGATTGTTTTATGAAGAGGAGAAGGAGGGGGAGGGGAGGGGGTGAAGCAGTACGATGGACATTGAGTCGAGGAATAAGCAATGAGAGATAGATGAAGGTACCTCTTGGGTAGAGGATGGAGAGGGGAGGAGGCAGGAGGATAGTAGAAGATAGTATAATATAGCGTGATGAGAAAGAAGTAAAAAAAAAAAAAAGGATGTACTGGGTTATGTAGAATGCTGAAAATTGATTTTCAGAGATTAAAGATGGAAAATGTATAGGCAAGGTATAGGTGTAAGAAGTTATAGTATTAAGTAAGAAGGCTATATGTAGAGAGTGATAGAGAGGATGGAGTAAGAGTACTTGGTGGAGAGATATTAAGAAGAAATGGAATGAAAGAAGTAACGAGATATGATTTGTGTGAAGTGTAAGCGTACAAAAACAAGTACCAGAAGACGAAGTGAAGAAAAAAGATCAGAGAATGAGATAAGTCATAGAAGATAAGCTACGGAACCATATTTAGGAATGCAGAAGAGACGTACGCAAAATGTGAATAAAAAAGCTAAAGAAAAGAAAGAAAAGCACGAACAAGAAGTGAAGGAGAAGCGGTCCACTGGTGGAAGTGGACAAACAAGATAGTAGATATGACAGGAGGAGGAGGCCTAACAAATAACAGATAGGAGACGAGAAGGGAGAATAACAAAAAGAAGGGAAGAAGGAGAAAAGAAGAGAAGAATTGGGTAAACGACATACAACACAAAGAAAGCAGACTAAAAACAGAACTACTCTGAAAGGAAAAGAGATAGGGGAAGGAATGAAAAGACAGAATGAGAAAAAAGGAAGAAAAGAAATGTGAGGTCAACCGAGCAGTGAAGTGAAACAAACACAATTGTATTTAGTGTGTAAAGAAACAGAAAGAAGAAAACTGGAGAGGAAGAGAAAAGAGAGTGCGGATGGAAACCGTGACCGGTAGCGGTCCAAGTTTTCGGCTAGTAAGAAGTTTAACAGAAGGGAAGGAAAGGGTTCACATAAGAGAATCTTACAGTAAAATAAAGCATGGTTATTGCGTTGTAAAGGATAGTAACAATAAAAGTGAATTCTAAAAAGGAGGGCCATTGTTACGAGTCTTAACAGTAAGCTTAATCATTCTATTAAGAAGATTTAAGGGACCGAAAGAACTAAAAAAATACATAAAAATTTGCAATGAATGCATATAATATAGAATTGTGCAAGCAAAAAAAACCAAAATTTCCAAGAACATTTGTCCTGATGCATGTTTTAGTGATATTCAGATTATAACTATTACTTTATCTGGATGCAAACATTTAATGCAACACCCATTTCCTATGTTTTCTCATTTGAAGACCCCCAACGAAAAACAAAACGTTAGGATGATAATAAGACCATTAAAAAGGGTCCCAAAGATTACAAGCCTGCATTGTGTGCATAGACACTATCCACTAGTCGCTATTCCTCTCCAATAATATAAATAATGAGTTTATAGTATAAAGATATGTTCGCATAATTATGTCTGGTCCTTCTGTCTACTCCTACCTATCCTAACACAACAGGCCATAGATAATGTAAATACATACCATAGTAACTAATGTATGTATTATATATATATATAATAATTATATTATATATATATAATATATATATATGAATATATAATATAAAAGTGTGAATGAATGGTTGTTTGTGCTCTGAGACATGCATGCAAAAGAAATTTATCAGACGTGTAAAGTGCATAGCAGATATGTGTGTGTGTAGATGTCGTCGTTGTATGAGAGGTGAGCAGTGAAATTCTGATCTTTCTAGCTAGTGAGTGGTTTATGTGTGTTATGTGCATTAGTCTAATTGACGTATGTACTATTAGTCATCTGAGAGAATAGATTGTGATACTTTGGTGTGGTTGTAGTGTCATAGAACGCGTCGTATTAGTATACTGTGAGTAAAGACGATGTAATAGTTATAAATTGTAAGGTGATTAGGACAAACCACTTAAGCCAAAAGTATGAATGCGCGTATTCTATTATATCTGATAATGTAACAGATTCTTAATCTATAATTCTCTTGCTCATGAAATGAAAGCAAGCATTGATTATTTCAATCTTGAAGAATATAGTTGATTAAAGCACAAGCCACCAACTGTGACGGAACATATATTATTAATTATAAACACAATACTGCAAAGAGAGTGGACGAAGAAGATACCAAGAATCAAAGAAAAAGGTAGTACGATATTAAGAAAAGTTAAGGAAAATAATAGGTGACGTTAATCCCAATATAAAAACGATAGAAAGACAATTGCGAAAATGTCTGACCAAGAATAAATGCAAAAGGATTTGTATTTCAGTTCTTAAAAGGAATGTTGAATCGGAGTCACTAATAGTCAACACGCAAAGAGCAAATAAACCTAGAAAGAGAATTTAAAGTGAAAAAAAAATGAAAAAACACCCATGGTTAGAGGGACTCTGTGAGTGCAATCCAGAGAAGACATTTCAAAATCGTTCAGAATTGGGGACCGTACAAATAGTATGAAGTTATGGTTGTGTACTTATTAATAATATAGAGGCTGAAAATTAAATATAATTAATTTTCCGGGCAGCTTCAAAAGAGCGCAGGAGACTAACAAAAGATGGCGAAGCAGGCAAGGTATCTGATACAAATTACGAACTGTTCCGTACAAAAAATTCGAGACACGCTAACTCGTCGCTCCAGTGCAACACAAAATATCATATATATGTGTAACATTTCTCGCCGGAAAAAGTTTGTATGCCGCTGGAAGACAGAGTAGAAATGAGAAGCGTCACGGCAACTAGGAGCAGAAAGAGAGAAGATAATATACGGATACCTGCTAGGCAAGTGATTGTACTTTTGCCGGGATTGTCTTCATAATGTTAGGAACATCCGTCAGAGAGAAGAGAAGAGATGCGTTAAGTGGGTTAAGGAGAGAGGGAGATTTCTGCCCACACTCAAAATCCTTTTATCCTTGGGCACTAAGAGGATCTAAACAAAAGGCAATACTCTAGCTTACAATTGTAGCACAAATTGTGTCCTTATCAGAGTCAAGGAACTTACTAATTGACAGCATATAGAAACCAATGGCACATTAGATGCACCCTCATTACAGCACAGCATATTCAGGGATAAAAAGTGTCTGCTTCCAGGGTGATTTTTTTTGGTCCTTTTTTTTAGGGTAATGTGCGTCTTACATACAGTCAAATACGGTCTTCAATATGGTCTTTAGTTCACTAACAAACATTAGAAATCAAAACTCCTTTACTTGGCTGCATTTCAACTATTCTCTCAAAATTACTTAACTGACCTTTACAAAAATGTTTAAGCAATCACATAAAACAATTTCTAACAAAATATAAAACAGACACAAAATGACTCTTAAACCTCCCCCTTCATTGAACTATTGTTACCAGCTAAGGAGACTAAGTAGTCAATTTAGTAATATACTGATCCCTATATATATATAACTTTCTCCCTTATAAAAAACCCTGAAACAACAGGTTCATATCACCTGCTTTGTGGGTTGAGGTGTATCCACATAAGCACATTCTTTTTTCATTGCCAAAATTAATCCTAAACAAGTTATATAAGGAAAATTAAGTTAAACTGATTTTCTTAAAAAATTAATACAATTGCTAGATTTACATCTGTAGACTAAAGAATCTCAGATGCTTTAATCGTATTTCCTTCCTGCATACATACCCTTTATAAGGTGTATGTATTATTTCTGTACCATACATTTTGATAAATGTTCCAACTTTTAACAGATACAAATCTAAACAAAGTAAAAATATTCCTTGGAGAACTAAATAAACTCTAAAAGAATTTCAAGCTCTTTCTGCCACCTGCAGTGACCACAGAACAACAACATAATAGTAATGTTACTACATCTACATTGCCAAATACAACATCCCAGAACATTAAAGCAAACACACAGTAAGAGTAATTTCTTTAATATTTTTGATAAATAAGGCCCTTCCTGCAATATGGCAAATGAAACAATACACAAGATGAAAAAAAGGAAAGACAAGGGAAGAAGATGAAGAAGAAGAAAAGGAGAATGCTGGATGACCACTGTTTTTATCTGTATAGAACCAAAACCTGTACAAAGTGGAGCTAACAATATGATATACATCAGAAAACAAGGAAGAGCAATTCTGGGGTTATCATTGTTCTTTCTGGATGAGTTTGTTTTGAATAAAACTCAACAAGGTTTGCAGAGGATGAACAATCTAGCAGAAATAGAAGAGAAACAATGAGGCCTGCTCTGCCAGCCAATAGGCTAGGAGGATTGTTCACCTTGACCAATTAGTTTATCAACCCTCTCTGTGCTTTGCCTAACTATAGCCCCCTTTAGTGTCTCTAGGTATCTGTATAATAATATTTACATTACCTTTACAGCACTCTCTTCAAAATTTAGTTTCAAACTCCACTGACATAGGATGAAATGTGCTACTTCATTCCTCCCCCAAAATGTCTTTGTAAATCTGAGGTGCAGCTCATACATCAGCAGATGCAGTAAAGTTTATATTGTTATATACTGTATGTTCTGAATTCAAAATACATTTCATGGTTAGATTTTCTTATCATCTTCCAAACATTATTATGTGTGAAGAATTAGTTCACTCTATATGGGAGGCAATTCTTTAACTAATTCGCTCAACATTAAAGACAATTCTTGAACAAATTATTTTTGTCTCTAAAGTCAATTCTGTTTCAGATGCAACCCAGGAAGAACTTTAACTTCAACTTGTTTCCTAGAATAATTTCAAATAGAAGACCAACAAATTTGTACTTGGAGTTTTCTAACATGTGACACTGCAGCAGAAAAAAACACATCACTCTAATATAGAAAGAATTAAGTCTCAGCAGCAAACATTAGAAAACTAAAAGAAGCTTCCTTTCAAAAAGAAAGAAGGTAATACACACATGACACTAAGACCAGTCAAACAAACAACAAAAAGTTCATAAAAAACATTACACAAAATACAAAGGGAGAACAAGGGGGAACAATTACAAATGAAAGGGAATTAGAAAAAATAATAAGGTAATGTGGGAGGGTAAGAAATAATGTGGCACAATGAGTGAGAATCAAGATATCTCCTGCACTTACCATGGCCTGCTGGCTTGCACCCGGAGAAGCCTCATGGTTACTGGGTTCAGGTGAGTTGCTCAGCTGCCCTGTTGTTTCCCAGGCTTGACCTCCACTTTGCTGTTGGCATGAAGAATCACAGAGTTTAGTGGGTTTAAATAAGAATAGTGTGGTATGAGTAGAGTCTACAAACTGTATGTACGTAATATATGTATATATATATATATATATATATATATATGTATATATATATATATATATATATATAATATATATATATATATATATATATATATATATATATATATATATATATATATATATATATATATAATATATATATATAATTATATATATATATATATATATATATATATATATATATATATATATGTATATATATATATATATATGTATATATATACATATATATATGTATATATGTATATATATATATATATATTATTTAATTTTTTTTTTTTTTTTTTTTTTTTTTGGGGGGATAAGATGATGTAGTCTATCATGGGTATTTGCTTGGATAAAAGGTGATACAATGAAAATGTGAAATAATTGAAATAAAAAGTAAACAACATATGGTAAGAAAATTCTGTGGGAAATCAGGATGAAATAATCATTGTTTGTTATCCTTTACAAGTACTCCCCACAACAAATGATATGTAAGTAAAAAAGTTGGTACGAAAATATATCTATACACAACCAATCAAACCCTCACCACAGCATAGGAGCCAACGCGAAAGAGGCCAAGTGGCAAGACAGGTGTTGAGTGCGTCAATCCACTGCTAGAGACCACAGGATGGAGCCCAGGAGGGGGAGGGTGAAGCCCTGTCACCTTGCGGTACATGGTCTCCTTGCCCGCCTCCTCACCACCTTCCTGCTCCTCCCAGCTATTCTCATCTTCCTCAAGTGGGTCGTCGGGTCCTAGCGGCACTGTCACTGGTTCATCTTTGATTTCTTCCTTGATTTCCGTCTGTAGGTTGTATTTGGGGAAAAAGCGAATCATTTTTTTAGGGCAATAGTGAATACCAGGGGGTCTGTGCAAAAGAATTCACACGTTATATATTTGGTATTTTACGCACACAAATACTTTATAATGGAAATTTTCTATTATTTATAATAACACCAAACCTCTTGTACAGAACATGAAAATATGGAAAATCCAAAATTTCCAAATTTCCCATCTCCCAAACTGAAAACTCTGCCTTAGAGCTTTTCTCACCTGCAGAAACTGTCCAGCGTAAGAGTCCAGAGCAGTGGCCTTTGGTGAGCATTTGTTCTTCTTGGTATGGTGCGAGCGAGGTTGAGTGGGCGTGACGGGATCAGGTGGTCCCTGTTCACCTGGAGGCCCCTGCCGCATGGACGACACGATCTGGAGCCAGCCAGTCTTTGTGGTGCCTTTCTCAGGGTCAGCCACTGGAACAGCCACCTTGAGGGGTAGAGACTGGGCCACAGGTGAGGAGACATGCATTGGTGGCGGAAGTGTCTGGGGGGAGGAGTTGACGGGCAGGGTAGTCGGCTGGTGTGTGGGAGAGTGTGTACTGGTTAGGGCAGGTGTAGGGGCAAGCCAGGATGAAGAGGAGAGGGGCGTAGAGGGCACAGTGGGAGGGGGTTCAGGGGCTGGTGCTGAGGGAGGTGTCAATAGACACTTCTTTTTCTTCTTCTTCTTTGCTGGTGGAGATTCCGGAGAGGGTACATGGTCCTGAGTGCGTTTTGTGTCTGCAAATGTAGAGTGGGAACTTTAATGGCCAGTTAACCCAATGTCGACGGGAAAATGGTGCATTCCCTTTTGTAATGCTTGGTTACGTCATTAATGCAGGTATATTTTGAAGCCAAAAATAAAAGATTCCGGGTGGCTACAAAATTGGCGGTGGGCTGCCAAGACTCTGCCCATCCACCGACTGTGGCCCGCTGCTGCGTCGGAGCGTGAGCCCCAATACAGCGTCACACTGGCAGGACGCCCGGCACTGTTTAGTTTTTCGGGAGTCTTATATGTGGGACACCTGTCGTTAGTGGGTTAAATGTTTCTGCACATAGATGGCTCTGCCAATGCTTAGCCACAAGGGAGTCAATTAGCAGATCTTGCGACCTCACTAATTTCTTGAAAAAGTGGGAAAATTCTTTTTATTTTACCAATGCTATCAATATTGACACTTATTTTTGTTATAAACATTATAAGTAATATCTTGTTATTGACATTACTAACAGCATTATCAAATATTAGAAAACATTATTGAAAATCAAGGAAAAGGGTAAAAATGGAGACAGGTAGTTTGCGTAATTGGCTCATTGGTGACAGTACTTGTGGGGCCATCTATATTTAAAAACAATTTCTAAATTCAACACACAATGGGCAATGACCATTGGATTCGGGCTAAGTACATACAACAAATCACACAAATTAATGTTTATAATGCAAAGTTGAGCAAATTAATAGTAGAGTAATAGAAATTGATAATGCCGTATAAAACTGACATAAACCTATGCTTACACATAAAATATCTAAAAAAATAACCCAACAAAACATTTTCCTATTGTAAACATATTTCAAGCTAAAAATAATGCATTTCCCTAAATGACCAAACCACTCATTAGGCTATCATGATTTTCTATAATCTATCAGCATAAAATGGGGGAAAACAGATATTATTGCAGAAAAAATGTTACACCAATCACTGGTACTTTTGGGTGGAATGTTTCCTTCACACTCTCTAGGTCAAAGTGTGATCATATAACAAGTGACAAAATCTTTACAATTATTTACTCTGAATCAATGATTTGAATAGAGTATTTGCACTTTTTGTCCTAATTCACCATTTATTATTTTATTGCAGTCATACACAAGAGCATGTGAGAACTCTCAATTTCTAACTTGTACCAATCAAGCAAAATGAGAAACATTATAGACACCTAATGTTTTACATAACAGCCATGTATGAATTCATACTATGATAATAAAAAAAGAAATACTAGTGCATAAACTGATAAAGACACTAATTTCTGCTACTTAAAGTTAAAAGATTCCAAAATTCCAAATACTTACTTGATGTGTTGATAGTTCCTTCTGGAACAGCTAACCCCTTGATCTTAAGACACTCAGCTGTCTTCAGCAGAGATGCCAGATTGGCTTGACGTACGTTTACCTGTTGGATTTTTGTGAAAATTATCATAAATCATTGCAACCTAAGAAATATGATCATAAGGTGAAAATATCTATCTATTTATCTACATCATCAATCAGTTTTAACATGTATTTACAAAGATGCAAAGCAAAGCAACATATAAATGAAAGCAAAGTGACTAACCTGTCCACAATACATATAATCCAGCAAGCACTCCACATCCTGCGCCCGCGCCTCATTCAAGACAATGACAGCACGAGTGCTGTCACTTGGCGTCTGCTGGAAAATCTCATCAAAGAAGTCACTGCAGGTGGCTAAGACTAACCGGTGCACCATGAACAAACGACCTTCACATGCCAGTGTTGCATCTGCATACCGAGGCTGTAATGTATGTATGTGTATTTTGGTTAATTCCATAAAATTAATATGTAAAGTATATTAATAGTCATTTTATTGTTCATGTCCCTTAGCTTAGGGTCTGTGGGGAAATCAAAGTGAAACTTCCTTCAAAACATACTTTTGGAATCAAGATATATAAAAAATGTGAAAAATGCATTTCTGGAGCATGAAAACAAAATACATACCTTGGTTCGGAGTCTGTGCAGAATGTGACAGAATGTCGCCTCATGGTTATTCCACCGAAGCTTTAGCAATCCTTCTGATAATGCCATCACAGCGTGACACACCTGTTGAGGACATAATTTTTTAGGAATTAGATGGGAAAGAATTTCATGGAGATCCTACACAAACATAATTGGTCACTTATATTTTTCAAACAAATCAAATATAAACATATGTAAATCTGAACATCTACAATGACTTTAACCAACAAAAAATTAAACTGAAGGGTAATATTTCTTAAAAGTTCCGCCAAACGATGATATTGGTATCCTTAGATTCCTCTCACCATCTACAATGCAAAAATGGAACCCCAAACACTCACATTATCGACAAGCTTGGCCCTAGATAGCGGTTAAGGGGATGAATGGTACCAAGGAAATTGCGAGGTGAAATATAAATAATCTACGAAGAATCAGTCTCCTGCCATGAAAATTTAGAGGATTCTATGTTTCCCTGGGCTGGGGTTGTGGAGGCAGCAGCCCCCTATGGGGGTGTCACAGGGGGAACAGCCACCTAAACTAGACAATATAGTGTCTGATTCTGTGTTTACTATTCATATTTTACCCTGCAATTTCCCTGGTACCTTTCATGCCCTCCCCTGTTATCGAGCCCAAGAATGTGAGTGTTTAGGGGGTTTCCACAAAATAATATCTTTAGATTTGGAAACTGAGAGGAATCCAGCACCAAAATCATTGCAATCTGTTCGGAGGAATTATTAGAAAATATATCAACTGAACATAATTTAACACACAGAAAAAACAAAACAAAACAGAAGACTACTCATTTACTTCAAGCCATTCAATAACATAACAAGATCTTTGGCACCATCAGTTTTACTTTAGATGTCTTTTAAAGGTTACTTGAATTTTCAATGCTGACTTGTGGAAGGGAATTAATGTCTCTTAATTACAATGGGTCTCGCTACCATCAAGTCAAATAACCTGTGAAAGAAGTAGAGTAAAATCCTGAAATGTGTCACTGAGGTGTTACTTTTTTAATGCATGAGGTATAAATTAAATGCACCTGCAATTTACATATTTCTTAAATATAATATTCTCTTCATCTTACTCATTACATAATTTCTTCACCATAGTCATATACAAAGAAATTTTCTGAGTTAAGAAATCTGAAGACAGCTCCTACTAATGTACCACAGTATCAATTTGCATACTTAAATTGTAGATAAAAATAAAGGTGACGCTTCTTTTTCGTAATATAAAAATGTATGCAAAATACAGCCAACAGTTTATTACTATTAGGATACACTGATCTAGACTCTTTCGAAATAATTTAAAATAAATGCAGAAAGCCGAATGTTGGACTGGTATAGTTTTCTACTTGTTCGTATCCATCACTATCGACCTAATCATCAACAAAGTAATAACTATGTGCCATGTGAATACAGTGGTTGCTAAATTTGTGAAAAAAACTTAAAAACCGAGAAGGACTGTTTGCGATACTTTGTAATCCCAAATTATAAATATATAAAACTAATACAAATTTCCGGAGGTTCACAAAATTCTCTAATTTTATAATTAAATTCCCCATTAATTTGACAAACTTCAATAACATCACTCAAACGGAACTTCACGTCTTGCAAAACGTCCTTGAACGCTTTGAAAACACGTTGTAAATCCTAAAACCTGATATCAACAGAAGAAAAATTGATATAACAAAGAGATTCACTGATCTCAAACCTTATCTCAAATACACAAAATTCACCACTAAACAAACAAATGCGATAGTCCTTCGAATTCGAGAGACATCTGAAAAAAGACACAGAAACATTCCTTACTTTACAAAATAACTCGGATACGAAAACAAAACTGAAAAAAACTCGGCAAAACTCAAGCCACAGAGAGTGAACACGTGTTTTGATATCGTCCATTATCTCTAAGGCTTTTATCCTTACCACTTCCGATCGAGAGCTCTTTCATAGGTCGATTCCCGTATTCAGATCTCGCAAAATCATGGGTTAACCGGCTTAAAATGCATAAAATACATATGTGATTCTTATCGTGTGAGCTCCTGCGTCCGCCATTACTCGGGCTCTGACGCTGATCAACAACACTGCGTCCGGATATGCTGTTAGATTATTTTTTAGAATCTTATCGACAATATTCCAGATGATGCGATTATTCATTGGTTTATGTTATTGCAATCTACTAATCAGATTTATCGATAGTTAGAATGAAAGGGTGATGGAGATGAAAAATATGAGTTATTTCGGTAATTCAAGTCGAAGTCACAGTCGGACATGTCCAGCCGATAAGCTTGCGCCGCGTTCATTAAAAACCGCGTGACATAATTTTTAAAAGAATTTTACCTCATAAATAACTGCGTGACACAAAGATACGCATACGCATTCCTCTCATCAATCATTCATTTACAAACTTCGAATAATTCAGGGGCTTAATGAAAGGAGAGGCACTGCATTTTCGTCTTTCCTTTTTTTAAATGGCGAATTGCGTCCGTGTTTTAATGCCCCTTCCTCCCCCCCCTCTCTCTCTCTCTCTCTCTTCTCTCTCTCTCTCTCTTCCTCTCTCTCTCTCTCTCTCTCTCTCTCTCTCTCTCTCTCTCTCTCTTCTCTCTTCTCTCTCTCTCTCCTCTCTCTCTCTCTCCCCTCTCTCTTCCTCCTCCTCTCTCTCTCCTCTCTCTTCTTCTTCCTCTCCTCTCCTCTTCCTCCTTCTCCTCCCTCCCCCCCTCTCTCTCTCCTCTCTCTCTTCTCCTTCGCCCCCCCTCTCTCTCTCTCTCTTCTCCCCCCCCTCTTCTCTCTCTCTCTCTCTCTCTCTCTCTCTCTCTCTTATCCAGGGCACAAATATGTACATACCTCAGTGAGGAAATTATACTATTTTCAATCCTAATACTCGATGTATTTTCACTTCAATAATCCCTCTTGAAATCAGTACATATAAGGCGGGAATTCGTAATCATATACATTGCCGTCTTATATCCCATATCAAAACTATGGAACACACCAATCAATATATTTTACAAACGCAATGGACGAAATTTTAAGCTATGAAAAAACACAAAAATAAAAAAGCACCGCCATGTTTGCGACGCACTTTGATAACTAGCATTATCAATATCACATTATCAAATACTCATTGGGTTTTCGTAATGACTCTAAAAGTTTACGCACAGTGAGTCAGTGATGATTGTGTCATGATAAAAAACAAGTGAGTTGGTTATTGATCTACTCATCCGTGACTTATTTGTGGCGGAATGACTAACCACTTCGGGTAATATGTCTATTAATATAACTTATTGCGATAGATTTGCCCTTGATTTCTATGTGGATGAGTCGATCGCGTGACAACTAAATTTACATATTGCGAATTCTCGTCGTTTTCAATCAGTTATTATATAGTGGGATGGGGAAGATATTTAGTGATTAAATTGAATTCATGTAGAGAGAATTCGATTATCTTGTTCACCTTTCGTGTTGCGTTTACATCTTGTCTCGTCTTTTGCTCTTTCGAAAAAATATAAACGTAATAACAAATAGAAAACATAAAGGTGATGAAAATGTATACAACGAAACATCAAATATCATAGTAATAAATTTTGCCTGATTTTATATTCTACTCTTTCTGTAACATCTGACATTTAATGCAAAAACTGGACAGTAATGCATAAAAGTGAATCAGAACATGAATGTGTGAATAAAACTGGTTGAAACTTTTTCCCCGATAGTAATAATAAAATGTTTTTGATAATAGCGACGATGATTGACAGAGTGATGATGATAAAGGAGAGAGAGAGAGAGAGAGAGAGAGAGAGAGAGAGAGAGAGAGAGAGAGAGAGAGAGAGAGAGAGAGAGAGAGAGAGAGAGAGAGAGAGAGAGAGAGAATTACGATAACTAAATAAGAAAAAAATCGTACCTGTTAAGACATGGGTGGAATAGCATAAAATACTAAAAGCTAGTTAGACACATATAGATATACTAATTGAGAGTTTGTAGATGGACACGAAGATGGTGACAGAGATAACGAGCTGACCGAAAGACAAGGTGGAATAGATGGACATGAAGATAAACCGTGAGCAGAAAGATGTATCGATAAACGAAGAAAATCTAATAGGAAAATACCAAAAAGACAACAAAAAATAGAATAAGATAAACAACATACAAAGAATAACAAAGGGATCGAAACAAAAGAGATAAATATACGAAAAAAAACAACAAAGCAGACCGGTAAAAGGAAGCGAAACAAAAGAAGCGCGCGGAGAAAGGCCTAACCTAACAGACACCCCATCTTCCCAAACCAACGAATCGCTCGATCAACCTGCGATCAGCGATTAACTCACACCCGTTTCCCTCACCGAGTAAAAAGACACGGGGAGAATAGCGCTCCGTGTTAACAACAACCCGGTAAATTGATTAGAAGATGGAACACAGCAACGGACCAATCATTCGAATGTGAATAAGAATAGAGACAGGGGAAAAAAAGATAGAGATATAGAAAAAAGTCTTTTTGCGCATACCGCTAGAAATCCAGTTCCTAGCAGGCCATAAACTGTTGCTGCTGCGGTAAGGCTGGGTGGGTCTCCTGCCTGCGGTAACTGCGGTCGTACGAAGGTTAATTATAATACGTACCTGACTTGTTGGGGCTGACTCCCTCGCCTGAGTTATGAGGGCTCGTGCTGACTTCACTCCTTGTGATGAAATGTGATGACTCGCTCGGGTGAAAAAGGATGACATAATGGTTTCTATTTAAGCTTATTTGATGTTTTATTTATTCTTCTTTTGGACCCAGAGTGGATGATCGTGTTTGATTGTTTAAAGGTTAGCTCCTGAGTTGTGATGACTTCTGGAGTTACGAAACAATCAGAATAGGGGTCTACATTTTCCTTGTATAGCATCACTGTTTAGATTTATCTGTTTACACACCTACTCCATTCCCTGTCTATCCGCTTATCATGTTAAGAGAAAGGTGACAGACAGCGCGCACCGTTCGTATCGTGGAGGGCGATGCTGTAATGGCCGGCCGAGGCGCCGGAAGGGCCCGCTGTCATTTCTTCTTGCTGACTCGAAATTCCTCCTCCCTCGCGCCTCTGCCTTTGTGCTGAGCTTCCTCAATCGAGCAAGATTTTTACGACTCTACTGCAGTGTGTTGGTCGTAATCTGCCGGGCCGATTTCTCCGAAATTAACATGATTTCTTTATTGCGCTCCGCCAGGACTTGCCAAACCAGTCTCGCTTGTTCCTATACACAGGCAAAATGACCTATAATTTTCATGCACTTTCTAAGACGGCCTACAATGCTTTCTAGATTTACCAGAAGTGATAAAAGCATAATACTGGACTCTTGCGTTTATGGTTTTGAACGGGATTGTATTTTTTAGCGAAATTGATTTTTTTCAGTGTATTCTTCAGTTTACCTGTCATTCTGACCATGATGATATATCTACCATTAATGACATACCACATGATACAATCACTTTTTAACACATCTATAATCTTTTGACGTACCTTATCTACTATCTCATATGTTCTGTCTATCAAAAAAACTGCTCACTCTAATCAAAACTTCAACATTTCCCAATAAGCTGCAACTTCATCACACGTCTAAACTTCAAAAATCTATCGTATTAGACTAATACTGTGATAGACGTATAAAAAAACGGTATGACAGAATAAAAAAAAGTTCACAGCATAAGAGATATATTTCGCGCACATGTATTTCTGACGGAGATGTAATCGAAGCGCGGGAATTATATCTTTAAGTTTTTCATTCTCATTCATACATTTTTTACTAAGCTAATATTCTTTCAAAAACATCTGTTCGATCCTTATACTTTTTATGAAGACGTAAAATACCGAAATAGATAAAGAAATATGCTCGGTCGCAGACATATTAGAC